TATATATATATGCCTGTCAAAGAAATGATGGCGTAGCTGTTTTGCTACTTTTAACACAAATCATATCACGTGACCTCCATAAGGCAAGGCAGTTAAAGGTAATGAATGGATGGATGTGACTTCCTGTCATTTTGAAATACTGACTTTAGACACCTTTGAACCAATCAGCAATAGTCACTGTAGCAGTAATCCTCCAATTCAAATTTAGTGTGGTCCACCAAAAAGAAATCTCTACTATTCTAGTGGTCACCACATTGTCTTTATAAGCCTGTACCTCTCTGTGGCCACAGTAGATGAAAAACTGAACAATTTAAAATTAATATGAATTTAAAAAGCTGCTTCATCTAAAATAAATTATTGTGAAAGGATGTGCAGCCTAAAACTAATTACTGACAGTTCTAGAAGAATGACCATAACTGCTAGAAAAGGTTTAGTTATCAAACATTATTAAAAGCTGTGCTGTCTGCCTGAAATGAATTACTGTACAGAGTCAAAAAGCTGCATCATGTAAAATGAGTTTCTTGTCCAAAAGCCCCCCAACCCAGGTGTAGCTCCAGAGGAGTGCACCAGTCTCCTCTCTGCGAGGCTGTCTGTGTTCAGTGCTCGTCCACAATCACCAAAATCTGAATTGTTCTAAGTGAGCAATATTATGTTTTATTATGATTCTGAATAAAAACTGTGTAGAAAGTAAACTCTAAAATACTCTTTCACCACTTTGATTTATCTTTTGAATAGACTCTTACTTAATTCTAATTAAAAAAAAGACAACTAACAGGTCTTTTGAGTTTAGAAAATTTCTAAATATTTTGGCTTGGTTTTGGTGTGTTCCCCAAAAAGTTTTTAGAAAGCCACATTTTTTGCAAGCTTAGAAGCATACTGGATAGTCCATAACATTGTCAGTGGAAACGTTTTCCTTTTATTGAAGTTGCACTGTAGAGTTATTGGTGCTCATGTAATCTTTGTGACCTTTTTGACCCACCATGAAGTTTATGTTTCGTTGAACTAACTACCTCCTTATGGCTGACATTGCAGCTCCTTTACCACCTGAACTGGGAGGTGAAGAACAGCTAGGAGCTGAATTGGAACACTTTAATAAGTACAAGTGAATGTGGTATTGGCACAATTTATTATTCATAGTGTTAGCATGTTTGAAACACAAACTAGAGAAACATCATGTTTTGTGAAAATGGACTGTGGATGCTGAAAACTAAATGACTGCTGAAATTTGCTAAAGAAACTGAAACTGAGTTGTGTACAGCCAAACAAAGCTGAACCTAGCTACTAGCTAAACGCTAAAAGAATCAGAACAATAACTAAAGGAGTAAAACATTTGCTAAAAGAATCAGAACACTAGCTATAAACTAAATGAAGAACATTTGCTAGAGGGTAGGGAACAGAAGACTAGCTAAAAGATAAGAGGAAGTACATTAGTTAAAAACTAAAAAACAGAACACAAGCTAAAAACTAAGAGGGGCAGAGCACTGACTAGGATCTACAAGGATCCTAATACTAACTAAAATATAAAAGTAGCAAAAAAATTAGCTGAAAATTTAAGAAGCAAAAGGTTAGCTAAATATAACACAAGGCCAGCTAAAACCAAAAAATAGCTAAATTGACAGAGTTCTGGCTTCCTATTTTTTACAATTTTCAAACATAATCCTGTACATTTCGTAAAAGTTTAGTTGTATTGGGCCTCATGCAAGAACCGTTCGTACGCACAGATTTGTTCTTAAATTGTGCGTACGAGTGATTTAGGACAATTTGTGGCATTCACCAATGTTTTCGTATTCTACGATTTTTTTCAGATACAAACAAAATTTACGAGTGGTCCAGACCTGTCGTATATTTTACATTTGTTGTGGTTACGGTGCGCAGCGCTGTGTCTTCTGAATAAATGAAAATGATTTAACACAGTTGTTTATACTTTTAGC